TCAAAGCAGTTGTGCCATCTTTGCTTTTCTACCAGCAATAAATATGAATTCTTGTTGTTCCATATCTTCAGCATTTTGTGTTGCCCATTTTTTTGGTTTTGGCCTTTCTAATAGGTGTGTAGTGGCATTTCTTCATTGTTTTAATTTGAAATTTCCTAATAACATGATATTCAGCAGCTCTTCACATGCTTATTTGCCTTCTGTATATCTTCTTCGTGAGGTATCTGTTGAAGCCTTTTGCCCACTTCTAAAATCAGGCTGTTTTCTTATTATTGAGTATTAAGTGTTCTTTGTATATTTTGGATAACAGTCCTTTATCAGATATGTCTTTGGGAATATTTTATCCCAGGCTTCAGGTTATCTTATGGTCCTCTTGACAAGTGTCTTCCAGAGAGCAACAGTTTTTAATTTTAATGAAGTCCAGTTTGTCCATTATTTTTCTCATGAATCAGGTCTTTGACATTCTATCTAAAAAGTCATGGTCACCTGAATGTTCTTGTATGTCATGTTTTACAGTTTTATTAAATTTTATATTTAGATATAAAATTCATTTTGAATTGTTTTGAAAAGTTTTGTTTCTAGATTAATTTTTTTTTGGCATGTGAATATCAAGTTGCTGCATCAGTATTTCTTGAAAAGACTATCATTTTTCCACTGCACTGCCTTTGATTCTTTGCCAAATATCAGTTGACTATATTTGTGTAGATCTATTTCTAGGATTTCTGTTCTGATCCACTGATCCATTTGTTCATTCTTTTCCCAATGCTACACTGTCTTGATTACTGTAGCTTTGTACTAAGTCTTAAAACAGGTAGTGGCAGCCTTTGTTCTTCTTCTTTAATATTGTCTTGGCTATTCTGGGTATTTTGTCTCTCTGTATAAACTTTGGGCTTATTTTATTGATATCCACAAAATAACAAGCTGGGGCTTTAAATGGGATTGCACTGAATTTATAAATCAAGGTAGGAAGAACTGACATCTTGACAATATTGAGTCTTCTTATCCATGGGTAGCCTTTATTTTTTGGCTAAGTGAAGAATACTAAGTTGGCAATTTTTTCCTTCACTACAGGAAAGAGGTCATTCCTCATCTTTTAGCTTTCATTTTTTTTTTTTTGAGAAACCTGAAGTTTTTATTTATGTTCCTCTGTATGTAAGTTGCTTTTAGGATTACTTCTTTGGTTTTGGTTTCTAATAATTTGATTATGATGTGCTTTGGTGTGGTTTTCTTTTTGTTTATCTTGCTTTGGGGTTTTCTGGACCATCTATGTGGTAAATTGGACCCTCACATATGCATTAGGGAAGCTGTGGTTATAAATTTTTAGGGGACTTACCCCCTTCTACCTAGAGCCCTAACCCCCAAAGATACATTTTCTTGTCAACTCCTTTGATGATGAGTGAAACTTTTTACTAAGTTTGTACTTTTTCTGAGGATGTAATTCTTTAGGGTATGGAGATTGGTACCATTTCTAAGTCTTCACCGTTCATGGACCCAGTCTTATTTCCTGGTTTTCACTAGCTTTTAGAAAATGAGCTTGTAGGTTAGGGAGACTGGCAAGGCCTCAAGAGCAAGCACAGATTTAGCTTTAGCCTAGTACTTTTGTTTCTATATCCTCTCATTTTTCTGCCTCTGAGATTTTCATCATCATTATTTATTAATACTGTTAAGGTCAGCCCTGTATTCAAAAGAATATTTACTATATTTAATCTGGGATTTCTAGGTGGCCTGTGGAGGGAGGAGGTTTTTTTTAGGCTAGCCAGACCACCAGTACTGCTTAAAATGCAAATGCATATCTTCCACTTCAATTTTTTACACAACCTTCCCCTAGGTCTCATCCAAATGCCCACATTCTATCTTAAGTAACCACATTCCCCAATCAGTTATTCTTTATATTATTCTTTTTATTTTTCTCTCATAACACACTGTAATTATCTTTTCCCAAAGGGTTTTTCCATGCTTACTGTCTGTCTCTCCCACTGAGTGTGTAGGAGTTATGACAGCAGGTACAAAATCTCTATTTTCGATTGTGTTTTTAGCCCCAAGGACAGTCTATAGCACAGAACGGACATGCAAATATTTGTTGGATGAATAATTGTTTTCTTGAAGCAAAAAGTAATAAAAACACAACATAAATGTATTTCTAAAAAACTAGATTATGCCAATGAGGGCAACATGTGAATGCTTAGAATTCTCATCTGGGTGTTTATACCTCGTGACTTCAAATTATCAACAAGTTATATAATCACTCTTCAATAATTTCAGAGAGGGCAGCTGAGTTAAGAACGCATTGCTGCCCACCAATAGGATACTATTTTATCAGAAATCAAGAATTGGGCTGTCCTCAATCATTTTCCTTCTTTACAACTGAGGGATTATTCAGGGTGTTATCCATTACCCATCTGGGTGTGGCTTTCAAATAAATTCTGAAATTGTTACTCTTTTATCAAATAAAAAAAAGTAAGAAAGTGATTTTTATTTCAGTATGTTGGGCTTTTGTGAAGTTTTTAGCAGAATTATGAAAATGTCCTTCAGAGAGTAGCCCAAAAATATCCTCAGGACATGACATCTCCCCATGATCAAACAGAATCAAGAGTATCTGTGTTACCTCCTTCCATCTGTGTGTTAAGTAGATAGGAATTCTTTCACAGGGAACTGAGTCCTGTATTTTGACATATCAAATCCCCTAATAACAACCCTGAGCTTAGAAAATGTGACCTAAATATAACTAATTTCCCCCTTGTAAATCTTAGTAATCCTATTTTAACAAAATTTTCACACAGTTCATAACAGGATTCTCTTTGGAAAAAAAAATATCTTGGAATAAAGGCAATCATATACCCTAACCCTGAACAACAACAACAACAACCATAAAGTAAATGTTTATTGAGTTGCTTCTAATGGGGTAGGCACCGAGGTGAGTAAACTAACATTGAGAGATTAGGGAACTTGCTCAGGGTTAGTTAGTGGAGTTCATGTTCTATAACAACTCTTTATATTGCTCCACAAAGGAAAATACATTCAAAGTCCTTATGTTCTGGAAGCAGATTCAGCTCTTGAATTTCTAAGGTTGATGATTCTACATTCTTTTTTCTTTGGTTGTTGGAAAACCAAATCAGAAGTCCATATCATGAGTTGAGAGAATATGCCCTTGGGTTGTTATATGGAATATAAATCTAAATCAGTGGGAAGCTTTATTCATGCATATTTCCCCAAGTTTTGGGAAATTCTCAGTTTGTATCTGGGATTTAAGCATAAGATCAGTGATATTTTACTCAAAATTGTACAATGAATGTTATTTCACTTCAGTGGCAATCATTATTTGATTTGAACCTGCTGCAGCCATGAATCTTGTTGAACTACTAGTTTCATAAGTGCTCCCTAACTAGGTAACTTTCTTCAGCTAAAAATCGCAGCTGATTTATGATGACATTGAAGAAGATTCTAAGTCAGACACCTGGAATCTAAAATAAAACTTTTCCATTTTCATATATCTCATGTTAAGGTAATTCTAAAGAATTACACTTGGTTATTTTGTTTCTTCAACTCTTTGATCACTTTTAAAAACTTGTAATTCTCCATACTTCCTGGAGGTGGTGCATACTAAAGTGAGGTATGATACTCTTACAAGACTTTGTAAGTATTGTTTGGTCAGGTTGGCCTGTATTTCATTTTGCTTAATTTTGTTCTTTTGCTTGTAAGTTTTCATGTTTTTCTTCCCCTTGAATTCTCCCAGGACTTAATTCAGTTGGTAAGCTCTCAGCACTAAGTGGCTAAGAAGGAAATATTCAGGTGCACCTTGCCCACCACCATCCACACGTTGTAACGATGCTGTATAATGATAGGGAGCACCCTTCTGCTTCCCTGATGGGGTGGGAAAGTATTAGGGATTTTCTAGAGCAGCTGAAATTTGATGAAGGCTGTGTTCAACTTGTCTGTTGCACCTAAACACTTAAAAATAACAGGCTCTTTGTACAATAGGCATATGTCCCTGAAAAGACAAAACAGGTTATTTCTCCAACTTATGTTTTCCAAGGCTAGTAGCTTCATTTCTGTTTTTTTTTTCTATCTTATTTAAGTAGAGGTGACAAATGTTTAAAAAAGAGGCAATTGTATAAAATAAGTAAGTCATGGAGATGAAAAGTACAGCATAGGGATTATAGTCAATAATATAATGTTGTATGGTGACAGATGGTGACTACATTTGTGAGCACCGTGTAATGTATAGAACAGTTGAATCACTGTATTGTACCTTGAAACTAATAAGATATGTCAACTAAACTTCAATAATAATTTTTAAATGATACAATAGTCTAATATTCAAGGATATTATGAATTTTCTACAGAAAAGAGGAGTTGTAAAAGGATTAACTCTTCCATAAGTACCTGGGAAGAAATAATTCCTTTGTCTCAAATTCAAAATGCATTGTCACTTACATTGCAATTTTCTGGAAAGGAACTACTGAGATACCAAAATTCTAATTTTTCTTTGCAACACTGCTATGATTCTACCATGTACCTAAAGGTCCAGCATTTATGGGACATGGTGTCCTCGCAAAGATCTTTAGGACAAAACAAAACAGAAAAACTTGAAAGGAGGGGTGATAGAGAAAAATGATAGCAAAATAATGTCAGATTCCAACATTAAAATTGATTTATATTTAGCTTTTTTTCAAGTGGGTAAGTTGATTTGATTTTCCTTTTTGCTTGAAAATTTTCATGGCTGAATTTTAAAAGGTAACACAGCGTGGGATATTAATTTTCACAGGGAAAATGAAACTTTATTTTCTCTCTTATATAGGATGAACTCAATTTATTTTAGGAGTTTAAAAAAAATCACTTTCAACTTTCTATTATAAGTGCCTATTAACCCAGGGAGGTCATTTACTGTCTCAGGATTTCAATTTTGGCATCAATAAAGTCCCCAGGATTTAGAATAAATACTAATTAAGATGCAAACTCCAGTCCCATGCGCTATCTGGTCTAAGAGGTCATTCACTCACCTAGGACTTTGGCAGGTACTCTCAGCAGTGTCTCCACCCCTCGCCACCTCTGGGACTTTTTCATCTTTCAAATGCTCCTCTGCTTCCTCCAGGGGGCTGCTTTTGGAAGGGGAATGTTCAGGTTCTCCAACACACTCTTCTCTCTGATCTGTTTCAATCTGAATTAAAGGCACTTCCCTTGAGCAAAGTGACCGCTTGGTGTGGCTGACAGGCACAGGTCCATGGCACGAAGAAGATTCTTTCTTAGAATCTAAACTGTTGTGGTTTGTAAGAGGAGCAGCTTTGCTCTTAGATGATACTGGGGGATGTTTGCTGTCGGTAATGGAGTTTTTCCTGGGGGTATCAGCAGACTCCTGAACAAGAAGAACTGGCCCACCTTGCACTCTGCTCAAAGCCGATCTGTTTGCACATTTCTCCACTTGCATGGGAGAGCCACCAGAAACGGGCTCAGCATCGGCTGCCTCGGCATCGTCCACTAGAATTTTGTTCTTCTGCATGAGGGCCTTGATGGAGTTTGCCCAGGTCTCATGAATTAACATGTTGGTGATCTGGTCAGTTCCGCCTCTGCGATACAAGCAAGAGTCAGATTTGCAGAGACCCGAGGAGGAAGTGCTACTGACTGGATGTACACTTAGGAAATCTTGCTGGCTGTTTTGAGCGAAGCCATCTAAAGAGTTGGCTTTGATGGGTGGGTTCACCGTCAGCCTGGCACCCAGGGATCGGCTATCGGGCACAGATGACTGTCTGTAACACAATGGGGATCGCAGAGAGGGTGACAGTAAGCCAACTGTCCAATCCTGGCTGCTTCGTCTGGAGGAGGCGCTGTCCCTGCTCTCTCTTTCAATGTCCCTCAGCATGTACCTATAAAACTCCTCGGTTATGCTCTCGGTGCTGGACTGCTTCGAGGGACAGCTCGGCCTCACACTGAGGTGGTCATTTTTATGGCAGGCCTGGTGCATGGCTGAGTTCAGGATGCTGGTGGCATTCTTGCCCGCATAGTAATCCAGCAGTAACTCAAACCCTCTTCCTTCATTTTCCATCTGGTTCACCATGAACCTGGAAAACTCCTCAGTGATGCTCTCACAGCTGGACTGCTTGGAGACAGAGCTGGCCCTGCTCACTGGCTGACTTAGGGTACTCATGAAACCCAGGCTATTTACATAAGCCCTGGCGCTGGAGTCCTCCTCTGGAATGCTTTCACAGCTGGAGGCCTTCAGTCGGCTCCACCTGTCTCCGCTGAGTAACCGGGTGCGGGGATGGCTCTGGGCTTGCCAGACACCGTCTACCATGGAGAAGTCCGTTAGGTTCATGATCTTGGCGGCCACTTCGTTTGCAAAAATATTGACAGAATCTGGGACGTCCTCGAGGTTCATCGACTCGTCCACGACCCTGTTCATCAGCTTCTCCTTAAGCTCCGGGTGCTCGTCCGTTTTCCTCTTGATCTCGCTGAGCCGGGGTGGCTTGTGCTTCCGCACGGTGGCCCCGCCGGGCTGGCTTTCCTTCTTCCTCTTCAGGGACCGGCAGGATACGTTGGGGGTAACCAGAAACTCATTCCCTCTCTTCCATGCACAAAACCAGGGTTGTTTTCCATTTGAGTTGTCAAGGCAGATTGCTGCGATTTCGGTTGCCATGGAGACAATCATCTCGGCTAATTCTTCCGCAAAGTCTGTGATGCAGTAGAGTTCTGCACGTGTTGCCTGCGGCACGGGTTGGACAGGAAGCAGCGCATCATTCCCTAACCAAGACAGGTTCACTTGACCTTCACTGTTCAGGGGCGACGCACGGTTAGATTTCTCCTGGGTGTTGGCACCTGCGCTGTCCTCTGCATCCTGGGGGCCTCTGCCGCCCTGGGCCCCCGCCGGCGCCCCTTCTCCTTCTGCAGGGCTTCTGTACTCCTTCTCATTGCGCCTTCGCGCAGGATGAGGGTTGCCTGGATCTTCTCCCGCTGCTCTTTTTAGGTATATTTCTTTGGGGGCTGTTTTAGCAGCCGAAGAGTCAGGCACTCTGGGACTACAGGGCAGTTCAGACTGCAGCATGGGGTTCTTGAAGAGGCCTGGCTTCGCCGGGCCCTTGCTATCTGGCTTGAGATGAACTTCATCCCCGAGATCATTGATAACAAGACTAGTTTTGCGTGGACTGCTAAGAGGATGGCTGCTGGAATATTCAGTGGCTTTGGCCCATGCTTGACAGGCAGCCTGGTCAGGCGGCCAGTAGCCTAATTCTGGTTCCTTCCAGTTGCTGGTCTCATTAGCAAGGACGGTGGGGCACTCGCCAAGCTGTACAAAATGGCTCATCTTCTTGAATGTGAAGCAAAGCACACTGAAGAGCAGTTGATTTGTACTTTCCATCAAGGTGTCAAGAGTCTCTGGAGAATGCCTAGTATCGTTGGGATCAATTATTTTGCTCTTGTGGCGAGCTTCATCAATGGAATGCTTCAGAATAACACTGGACAGGGTCTGTGCTACTTCATTCCTGAGGACGTTTTCTGAGCACAAGGTCTGAGGCTTAGAAGCAGCCTCAATGATTCTCTCGCTCATTGATTCCATGAGGTCTCCTACGCTGCTGCAAGGTTCTGGCCTTGTTAAAAGCAGAGCGGCCTCCTTGAGCAATGCTCGTGCAATGGCCTCATTTCCCAGCTCCATGCTCCTCCCTGTCGCCAGACTGCAAGGTGTGGGAACTACTGCACAGGCCTCAGCTGTACCCGAGAGGCCACTGGGAGCCTTGGCCTCTCCTGTTTCACCCAGGCCACAAACAGCAATGGCACTCGCCACCTGAGTCATGCCACACAAAGCAGATGGAAAGGAGTATTCGCTGATGGAAGGCTCCTTGAGTACTTGGGATATTTGAGTTTGCAGTGGTTCACTGCCTCCCAGTGGATGCGTTGAAACCAAAGATTCTTGCTCCATTTTGAGCCTTTCTGTGGCCTGTGGACTGGAAATGGTTCCAATTACAGTGGCCGCACAGGCCAAGGCAACTTCTAGAGCACTCTGAGGGTGTCTGCTGGAGTTCTCTCCAGAGAAGACACCTGAGGTTTCAACAGAGACTTCCATGTCAGACCATGAGGTGATGGCTGCCTCTGGGGCGACATCACTGCCATCTGGACTCTGAACAATGACAATTTTGGGGAGCTCATTCCATGACCGAGGGATCACCATACCTTTTGTGGAACAGCCACTGGGTAGCACAGCACTTCCGACAGAAACACTGACTGCCGATTCCTGGGGAGGTGTAGGCTGACACTGGGACAACCGAATAAATGCATCTTGCAGCACAGATTCTGCTAAATTTGTAGCATACTCGCCAGTTGTGGCTTCTCCATCTTGTTTGGGAGGAAGGGGGTTTGTGTCATCTTCATGGTCCCCTGGGTGTAAGCTGTTGTCATGCTCATATACAGGAGGCCCACTGTTCTTAACTATCCTGGAGAAATAAGCATCCCCGGGAGTACGTGGTGCCTGAGATTTTTCCACGTGACCTTTAACATTTTCCGAATAATAATAATTTGGGGCTGGCCTCTCAGTGCACACAGCTTCACCTTTCTGTCCCAATGGCTCAGCTGATGTGCCAAGGCTCTGCAAAGTGGTGTCTTCTACTTTTTCCAGAGATCCTTCTGCTTTCACCAACGTCGGATGATATTTGCCGATATATTTGTCTTCCAAAGCATGAAGTAACTTTTCCTTGTTGTAATTCCATTCTTCCTGAGTGGCTTCCTTTGTTTTTTTATTTTCCAAAACATTAGCTGAGACACTTATGTTTTCATAACCTAGTGAAGACAAAACGAGGGCCCACTATTACTTTTTGGATAGCAGGATCTCATGAGTGTAAAATAATAATTACTTTCTAAAAATGCTTTAAAGCATCAGATTTCCCTCCTCCCCCTGCAAAAAAAATAGCATTTAGAACATTCCTTTGAGACAAATGGATCTGAAAAGGCTTTTGCGTTTCATTATGGAACCCCACTCCAAAATAGCTTTCAATGTGGAATAAAGATGTTAGTACTAGAGTGGGAGGAGAAAACCCTGGAGAACTGAGTGCTGTTCATCTTTCTTTATTTTTTTTGAAAGATTTTTATTTATTTATTTGAGAGAGAGAGCAGAGAGCTCGAGAGAGCATGAGCGAGAGTGGGGCAGGGGCTGAAAGAGAGGGAGGAGCAGACTGCCCACAGAGCAGGGAGCCCAATGCAGAGGCTCCATCCCCAGGCTCCCGAGATCATGACCTGAGCTGAAGACACATGCTTAACCAACTGAGCCACCCAGGTGCCCCTATCACCTTTCTCCACGGGAGAAGTAACCCAGACAGTTATATCTAAGAGCTTCCCAGAGCATACAGAAGGAGGAAGGATGTTTAAAGCCAACTCCATAGTAAGCCTTGTCGCAAACACTTGCTCTGAAGTTTGGGTAGGACTTGTCTCAGGTAGTGCCAACAGCATCTGCTGTATCCCTTTGTCTTTGGCTAGGAGTGGGGAGGACGAACACATTGTTCACTGAGCTCTATGGATCAGTAAACCAAAGCTGTGAATAAGTGCTAAGTGCTAAGTACTCTCCTGGGTTATTTCCTTCTGCCTTTACCATAACCAGGTAAATATCATAGACATAGCTGAATATAATAAATGTAACAGTGCTAGAGACACTATTCTACTCCCAAATAATGGATAAGGGAACTGGGGCTCAGAAGGACTAGGAACTGACCCAGGCTTCACAGTCTCAAAGAGGCAGTGCTAGGATTCAGGCCAGTTTAAGTTGACTTCAACTAATAGGTGGCTTTGTGGTAGTCTCAGGGAAGATAACTTCCCTCCCTACGATAGTCTTAGGCTCTTGGCAGGCAGGAGGATGTCCATCAGCATCCCTAAGGCATCTTTAGGAAAATGGAGCCATCCAACCATTTGATCTAAGCGCATGAGTCAGTGGCCTCACTAGAAACTCAGTAGGTGAAGATTCTGATGCGTCAGCCAAACGGACGTGGCTGAAATCTCACTCATTTTCATAGGGTGACTAATTTCAGGATGCACATTTGTTTTATGGGGCAGTTCTCACCGTTCCTCAAATCTTCCACCTCACTTTCCTCCTCCAAGTGCTCAGAGGCGGTGAGAAAGTCCTCCTCGATTGAAGACAGGGAACAGTTTGTGTCATCCTCCACTTTCAGGACGTTTGTTTCCAGGTGGAGCTGCCGCTCCTGCACCAGTTCCAGACCAATCAAAAATTTGTTGATCTCAAAGATGATGCAATTGGTACTGTTTGCCCTGTTCCCTCTCGCACACTGGACCAAGCAGATATCTGGCAGCCAAGGACACTGAATGTCGAGAGAAAAGAAGGCATTTATTGAAATACAGAATAAAAAAAAATCATCACTTCTGACCTTTCTTCTTCCACCAGTCTTCCTTGTTATAAGGAGTAGGGGACATTTAAAATATTTGGAATATCTTCTGGGCTTAGATTGATGAATTGCTTGAAAAAAAATTCAACTGATATTCAGGCACACGGTACCTAGGAGAAAGTCTGACTTAGGGGAAACTAGGCCAGTTGTATCACATATTTCTGGGGTCTCCTGTCAAAGCAAAAGTGGCAGTGGGCAAAGTTAAACAAGTTAAGGAAGACCTTCATCAGAGTTCTTAAAATAGGAAAGAGGGGCCCCAGAAGTGAGTTGGACCACAGCTCCACAGAAATAGAAGGCACTAGGGCTTTTAGGGGCTGGTGTCAGAGGGCTGTGGGTCATCTGTGCTTGCTAATTGGTTCTAGCCAAAGGAAAAGTAAATGTTTTTGCATCCGCATGGCAGGAGGTAGTTTTGCTCTGGCTCCTCCTGAAGCAGATCTCCATCTCCCATCCTTCCACAAAGGAAGGGACACCATCTTCTTTGATGATCTTATTTCAGAGATGGCTCTTAGGTCTTTGAAAAAGATGCTCCCAGGCTCTAAAACTGTCATGAGGCCTTTAAAGTGATTTACATCTCAAAGGGGCAGAGAAATAATTCATAAGGATGTTTTCTAAAGTAAATGTTCTAAGGAAAGGGCAGTTAGTGCCTAGAGTCAGAATGAAGCCTAAAGTCGAGTTAAGCCGAGGGGAACCTTAAAGCTGTCTGGGGCGTGCTTCTTGATGAAACAGAGCCCTGGTTTCTTAGGGATTCTCAGACCAATATCTTTTTCTGCCTTGGTGATGTTAAGTAAAACCTCTGCCAGTATTTCAGTGTTTCTATTAACTAGAGTTGGAATTTCTAATGCTCATCCGAAGAAGCAGACACAATGAGATATAAAGAAATCCACTGGAAGAGCACTAATTATCTCTAGAAGATCAGCATATAGGAAAGCAGTGATACAAAGGCTCAAATTGTTAGATGTTGTCCCTGTGAGACCTGTTAATTCTGTTCTGTTCTAGAGTTTACAGACCATCTCCCTGTTCTCCACTACACATTTTCTCTATTCATATTGTTGTCCATTAGAAAGCAATAAAAGTTTCGATTGCTCGTGCACCTATTACGAGTAAACATATCTTGTGCATCTCGAGATTTTTATTTTTATAAAAGGAACAATACACTGATTTGTAGTAAGTTTTAACAGAAAATTATTTGACTGGAAACAAGAGCTAGTGGGGAGGAGAAAGCTAAACACATTTACATCCAAGTGGAATTTGAAATGTTTGGGGGAAATAGTTTATATCTAAACATTTAGTTTATAAAAAGGATTATTTAAATCCTATGCTTATCTGCAATTAGAGTTAATTGGGTCTAATCCTACTTAACTTACATTTTGGAATCCTTGAGTTTGAATATATGTGTGTGTAAGGGGTATGTGTAATGCACAGAAATACATACATGTCCACATCCATATTGTATTTCTGAAAGCAGTATATCTTTTTGTTCCATAAATACCATTTATTAATCTTTTTAGTTGAATATTATAATTAGAGCAATTCCAGGACTGGTGATTATAAAATGAAAAGTCCAATCATTTTCCAAGGGGTCCAGGGGGCTCAGAAACAGAATTCATCTACATGCTTAGGTAATTAGGTCGAGGAAGGGGGTTTATAACCCCGCTTTTCAAAGTGTGGTTGTAGACTAGCAGCCTTGGCATCACCTGGCGGCTTGTTAGAAATGGATAATCTCAGGATCCATCTCATATCTACTGAATCAGAATCTGAATTTTCAAGAAAAATCTCTTTGTGATTCCACAGGAATTAATATTTGAGAAGTGCTGATTTTATAGCTTTTTTAAAATAAATATTTTATTCATTTATTCATGAGAGACACACAGAGAGAGGCAAAGACACAGGCAGAGGGAGAAGTAGGCTCCACGCAGGAAGCAGGACGCGGGACTCGATCCTGGGATCCCAGGATCACGTCCTGGGCTGAAGGGGACGCTAAACTGCTGAGCCACCTGGGCTGCCCCCGATTTTACAGCTTTTTAATGAAAACCACAAAGGTTCTGAGATCTCCCACAATAATGAGGAACTACTGCTGTAGAGTAACAGTAGCTGGCTTGATTAATTTTATTTCCACTGAATTTAGACATAATACACTTACTTGAAATTTACAAGATACTTTCTGGGTGTCTATTTTATGCAAGGTATGCTGGGAGGTACAAACATGAATAAGATGGGGGGTGGGGGGCAGCCCAGGTGGCTCAGGGGTTTAGTGCCGCCTTCGGCCCAGGGCATGATCCTGGAGACCCAGCATCGAGTCCCACATCGGGCTCCCTGCATAGAGCCTGTTCCTCCCTCTGCCTGTGCCTCTGCCTCTCTCTCTCTGCGTCTCTCATTAATAAATAAATAAGATCTTTAAAAAAAAAAGATGGGGGGTGGGGACTGGGAGGTGGGGCACAGTATACTACCAGTGGATCAGGCATGAATAAAAATAATGAAGGCACCATATTTATAGGTAAAAATGGATGCATATTGGCCATTTCATATCATTCAGATTAAATATATATGACCTAGGGTTTTATATATTGTGGCAGGATTCAAAAGAGATATTAACAAATCAACATGAACAGTTAAGTAATACCTCAAAATAAACTTAGAGAAGGGACTGTGTTAAATGTGCAATGTTCCATGGTTATTGCATTCACAGAGAGAAAATATATTTTCTGAACAATGTTCTTGAAAGTAAATAAGCATCCTAGGAGTCTTAGGTAAATGAAGGCCAAACAATACAGCCTGTAAAATAATGGTAGGTATTATTATATAATTTTATTGTAGTCTATTAGGTGCTTTGAATATCTTATTACCTTTAATGCAAACATTATTTCTATGAAGTTGGGGAAGCCATTACTATCTTCTAGAGGAGAAATGAGGCACAGAAAGGCTCCTTTGGAGGCTACACAAATATAAAATGCAAGAGCCAGCAGTGAAATCCAGGCCCATCGGGCTCCAATTCCTGTGTCCTTTCCAATTCTCTCCATGGCTTCCTGGTCTAATCAGCAAAACTCCAATATCAACCAAGGATGTGCAATTTGAAAAGGATGGTTTGCACTTGAACCTCCTCGAACTCACGCATGCCCAATAAAATTACGTGTTCTCCTCAAAGAAAGGACAGACATAGGTGTAGATCTTATTATTGTACATAATAAGCCTCTCAGAAAAAATTTTCTTCTGTAGAAAAATAATTGAATACATAAACCACATCTTCTTTATCCATTTATCTTTCGATGCACAATGGAATAATATTACTCAGCCATTAGAAACGACAAATACCCACCATTTGCTTCGACGTGGATGGAACTGGAGGGTATTATGCTGAGTGAAATAAGACAATCGGAGAAGGACAAACATTATATGGTCTCATTCATATAATAAATAAAAAATAGTGAAAGGGAATAAAGGGGAAAGGAGAAAAAATGAGTGGGAAATATCAGAAAGGGAGACAGAACTCCTAACTCTGGGAAACGAACTAGGGGTGGTGGAAGGGGAGGTGGGCAGGGGGTGGGGGTGACTGGGTGGCGGGCATTGAGGTGGGCACTTGACCGGATGAGCACTGGGTGTTATTCTGTATGTTGACAAAATGAACACCAATAAAAAATAAATTAAATAAATAAATAAATAAATAAATAAATAAATAAATAAAATGAAAAGGGATTGGTAACAGAAAAAAAAGAAAGAAAAATAATTGATTTTACTTGTATTTTTCACTTAGTATTTTACTTGGCCATTGGCTGTCCTCATGATGATTTTTCTTAAGATATTTTAAAATCTTATACTAAGGCTCTACTAAGAATTGTTTGGAGAAGGAAAACATAACTGTTATGCCAACTTCTCACTTGATGTTCACTGGTATGTATGCATTCGTTTCTCTTTTTAGAGAGAGAGAGAGCATGTGAGGGGGGAGAGATAGAAGGAGAGGGAGAGAGAGTGAATCCTAAGCAGCTCCATGCTCGGAATGGAGCTGGACACAGGGCTCCATTTCAAAACACTGAGAGATCATGACCTGAGCTGAAATCAAGGGTGGGACACTTAACCAACTGAGCCACCCAGGCACCCCACTATTCATTAGTCTTTTGAGACACATATGTATGGATAGTTGTGCATGTGTTCATATATATTTAATAATATCCATAAGAAATAAGGTCAAAGAGAATGCTAGACTAAGTAAGTTGCTCTCTAAAAGCAAGATGTCCAACTTATTTACTACTGTATCCTCAGCATGAAGAAAAATGCTAGACTTATAGTATATAGTATATTCATTCATTCAACAAAGGTTTACCATATTTACAATATTTACACAGGAACGACAGAGGTACATTACGATCATTTCCTTACATTTTTTCCGAGTCGTACAATTTAACTGCAAAATAATGTAGCAATATAAAAAAAGCAGTAGGGTCATTTGCTGAGTTGGAAAGATGAAGGCATGAATAAATAAAGAGAAAACTGTTCATAGATAATGAAACTCATCAGGAGGCAGAAGGAGCACTCTCTTCATACATTATCCTTGTGACAATATCCTTGTACTTCTCTTCGCCGGATGAGCCTAGCCAGTTTGTAAATGGATGCTTATTCTTGGTGTGCCCAGTAGTCTACCCTGGTGTCTTATTTTGCTCTATCATCTATTTATTTGGGACGAAAGGGGGGAGGGAAAGATGGAGAGGGAGAGAGAAAGAATCTTAAACAGGCTTCATGCCCAGCTCAGAGCCCCATATGGGGCTTGATCCCACGACCCTGGGAGATCTTCGCCTGAGCCGAAATCAAGAGTCAGAACTGAACGAACTGAGCCACCCAGGCATGCCTTATTTTGCTCTAAATAACATTTTCCTTCTACTTTACCTTCCTTCAGTTTTTTGGACATGGAAAGAAAACACACCACTTTGCATTTGAATAGTCCTTTTCAAGGTGCCTTCATATTATTTTATTAAATCACTATGACTAGTCTCTGAGAATGAAGAAAAGATATTTTTTTTTAAATATCCATTTTACAGAATAGGAAATTATAGTTGAGAGAAGCGAGGTCACTTGTCATCTGGACTACTGAAAATCTTCGGTGTTGTAATTTCCTGGCACAAAGGTGCCAAGTGGCTTGTTGATTCCCTTCTTCACAGGGTCACTGGGAACAATAGCTCTGCCCTGGGGGTTGATCTAGACCTCTCCTAAAACCCAGCTCAAGACTCCCTGGCCAATAGCTCCATTTTAACTTGTGGATTAACAGGTAACTAACTCTCATGAGGCAGGACAGCCACACTGAGACTATCCGTGAACAATTAGGTACTGGGTATGGCTGGCTAACATGGGATTCAATATTGATACACTGCCCCAAAATTACTGCTCTTTTAAAACACATGGATTAAAAAAAAACATGGATTGTGGTACCTAGAAAATGAGGTAGGGCTTTGGGAGACTGCAGAAGGGTGAAGGGGTATGTAAGAAGTGGTGGGGACTCTTGGGACAGAGAAGAATGAAATGTTTAAGAGTGTTACAGCTCACAGACAATTCTTGATAGCTCTTAGGAAAAGCATGCAGGATGTTAAGCATGTTTTTGATGGATGATATTTAATGAGTCCTGGGCAATCTGACTTTCCCTGACCCCAATTAACATCTGTGTTTATTTTGGGAAACAAAACCTCACTCAGTCTTCTTCTGGTTCTCATACCCTGTGGGGCATCATGTTTTGGCTCACTCACAATCCAAGTGATTTACATGGAGTTAATTGACCTCAAACTCTGAGGTGATCCAAGCAGGTGACCCAGCCTGCCGGTTGGAACACTGCATTCCTCAGGCCATTGTGATTGGTTCAGAAATAGGCATATGGCACATGGGAACCAATAGAACACAATTAGACTTTTGCTGGGAGCCATATGGAGGAGACAACTCACTTTTGCTCCACTTGAACCCAAAGGGATAGTGACTTTTCCTGGGAAGAGACTGTCTGATAGCGGGGTAAGGAGAGAGAAAGCCCAAAAGAGGCCACAAGGGAAAATCTATGTCCTGATGACACTGTTCAAGTCCCACTAACAATCTACCTATTAGCTATACTATTTTTATGCATAATCTAATTTTCTGTCATATTTAATTAAAATCCTAATAGGCCTGGTGCAGATATACTATTTTAAAACTCAGATTTGAAAATTCCTATTGGTCATCATAACTTTGCCCAGTATACAGAGAAAGCACTAGAACCATTTCTGTTTTCTCTTTTCAGGTGATCAATTATCTCACTAAGAAAATGTGTTATTAGATTGATCAGGAGAAATTTTGTTCCTGTCTTTTAAAAAAGTATTTATTAGAGAGAGAGAGAGAGAGAGAATATGAGCAGGAGGGGCACAGGGAGAGGAGGAGAATCCCAATCAGACTCCACACTGAGCACAAAGCCAAGAGAGGGCACAGTGGGGCTTCATCCCATGACACCAAGATCACCACACCAGAGATCATGGCCTGAGTTGAAACCAAGAGTTAGAGGCCTGATTGTACCACCTGGGTGCCCCTTTTCTAGTCTTTTTCTTTCTTTTTTTTTTTTTTAATGAGGATTTTGGTTTTCTTTTTTTTTTAAGATTTTATTTATTTATTCATGAGAGACACACAGAGAGAGAAGCAGAGACATAGGCAGAGAGAGAAGCAGGCTCCATGCAGGGAGCCTGATGTGGGACTCGATCCCGGGACTCCAGGACCACTCCACTTCAACCCTGGGCCGAAGGCAGGTGCTAAACCGCTGAGCCATCCAGGGATCCCCCCTTTTCTGGTCTTGATTACCAAGTTGTAATAGGCTGTGTGCAAATTTTTACAAAGCATCTGGAGTAGATGCAAGAAATAGTGGGTAGGTATCTGAGTTTTTTGACATTTGGAAGGACTAAAAAATAAAAGAATATTTTAAAATTTTCCATAAAAACTAGAACCCAAGAAAGAACAATTGAAGGAAAACAAATGTGCAACATTTTAATCTGCAGCTATACTATGTGTCATGACTTACTTGGGAATATCCACAATCTTCGATATAGTATGCCTTTAGAAATCTTATATTTGTTTCTGCAAATCAACTAAACAATTTATAGTTGTAAAAACTTGTCTTCAAATAATGTTATAATGACTCATCTAATAACAATGAAGATCAGTGTACTGAATGAGAGTAATATTATCTGAATTCCTGCTTTATTTTTAGTAACGTTCATTTCTTTTTTTTAAAGATTTTATTTATTTATTCATGAGAGACTCAGAGATAGGGAGGCTCCCTGTGGGGAACATGATGCGGAACTCGATCTCGGGACCCTGGGATGACGCTCTGAGCCAAAGGAAGACACTCAACAACTGAGCCACCCAGGCATCCCAGTAATGTTCATTTCTTCTAGGAATTTTACTCTTTAAGGACTCACTCACTAACTCACTTTAGTCTTTCGAGGAAACTCATTTTCTGTCCATGGGGTTGCTATCCTGTATTTATTAGCCTGGCTCATTTGGTATATCCTAAGAAATAAATATAAGAAGAAAGAAGGAATGTTAGGATTCTGGGACCATACGGTATGAATTAGAATTTTGGTATTGTTTGAGAAACATAAAATGAGTCTGTTTTTTATTATTTAATAGATTTGAGGAAAACCAAGATAACTAGTCATTCTGTGCCCAATGTGTCTGCTCTAGTTTAAGTGCAAGTTAGCATCATGAACTTGAGAAGATAATAAATGTTAGGAGTTGAGGTAAAAGAAGCTCTGTCAAACTCTTGAGTGGCATATTCAGAAGAAATACAAATGAAGACTTTTTTATTACAAAGAGATTTTGAAGTCTTTTGCTATGGGAGCTTACATGTAGCATCTATTTGAAGTTCATAACGACTTGTGCCAAGAGTTGACCATAGACAACCTATCACTAATGAGTATCTTATCAAGAGATTACATCTCTTACCTGTGAAACTTCAAAATCTGCCTGGATATTTCCAGATGTTAGCCCACTCAGAAGGACAATTTCATTTTCTTTTGGCTGTTGGACGTTCATGGAGCTGATGAGTTTTGGAAGATCTGGTGAAACATTGACCAATTTCTGTGGAGGAAGAGATTAGTTTGTTTAGGTGATTTCTTTTCACCTCCAAAGCACTACCCAAAACTATTTACTTGCAAAAATAATATATAACTTATACAAATGATAGATTAGATAATATACTAAGATTATTACTAGAAGAGGTTGTATGAAATTGATGCATAAAGGTTTAGATTGGAACAGAAAATTACTTAACCATAAAGCTTTAAAAACTTTTTAGTTCTAAATTTTCCAAAGTTAGACATTTAATTACTATTACAGCACAGGTATACATAGTAGGATTTTTATCCTCTTCATAGTTGGAATAAGAGACTTATTGACTATAATCATCTATTCTAACAGAGTCAATAATCATAGTATCAATAATAATAATTTCCAATATTCATTTCACTCTATGTACTAGGTGCTATGCTAAAGACTGTACAAGTTACATCTTAGTACACTTAATTCCCACAACACCCCCATATGGATTAGGTATCATTATTACTTCCCTCTTTACACATAAGTAGTCTGAGGTCCAGAGATTAGTTTACACACGCTCATATAGCTAAATCAGGGCTAAGTTTCTACTCTTAGCCATAGCAGAAGACTGTCTCAAATCACTCATATAAATCTTCAAACACACAGTCCAAGATGCCAACTTGCTTTGGTCTCTCCTGCTGTCTCTTTGACAAACTCTGTCTGCACCATAAGTCCATTAAATGAAAGCATATGTACAATTTTTCCTCCCAAACCCCTCCAGTACTACACAGATGAATGATATTTGAATCTCTGTGGAAATCTATTACGGATAATCTGTGTGGGCAATTAGGTTTGAGAAGCTTCCAACCCAGGTGCAGCATTGTCAAGAAAAAAAAAAAACATTACAGGAATAACAGTAATCACAGGCCGACTGTTCCGACTGCAAAGCTGCAAATGGTGTGTTATCACACCACTATAATACCACTATTTGGTATAATTACCAAATAGTGAGGTCAAATCATCTTCAACTTTGGGCATTGAAAGGATAACCACATCACACCAATTCTTCCTATCAGACCCCCTATTGCCTCTAGTTCCAAAGGACTGAGGGGACCTTCAAGTACTTGCATGCTGTCAAGGATTTACATCAGGATCCTCTCAATCTTGTGAGTTGGAATATGTAGCTGCTGCAGAATGCCAAGAGTTTGAGCCCCAGTTGAGTTTAAGACTAGGAAACCAAAGTTAGCTGATCAAAGCAGCAGGAAGGACCAGACCTGAGAGCCACAGAGAAGGGCTGGCTGGTATCAAGCAGGTTTGGAAAAACTTTGGAAATGTCATCTCAGGCAGGGTGTTTGAGAGCAAAGGAGGTGGGGGTGGAGAAAGCATCTAGCAGGGTCTGGGGGCAGGGGAAAGCACCTGTTCAGAGAGCAGCCCAGTTATCTTGGGAAAGCCAATTTCACGAATACAAGGAAGGCAACCTGCATGGGAAGTAGCAGGGAAAGGGTCAGGGAATGGGTTGTGGTGAAGCCACCCAACCAAAGAGTCTCCAACTGAATGAGTGCCATTTATAGATGAAGTCATGTCGGCTCTCTGGTTGGCCCAGTAAGCCTTTGTTATGAGCTCCTGGAGAGCTCGCGTTCCCAGGGTTACCTGCTGCAGGTGCTCTGTGCTGCATGCATCCTTGTTCACATCCAGGTTCACGAAGCAAACCTAAGAAAAAGCCCCAAAACAGCCAAATAAGTGAAAAACCTGGCAGTTCTTTTAGAAGAAAGCATGGAATCCATTTGGGGCAAAATATTTGAGGGTCCTGCAAGTTTCGTACAGTTGGTCTGGCCCAGAAACAGCCACTGTACCTTTGGGCTTCTGTGCAAAACACTCACACCCTAGTCACAATTCCTCTGACCCCACCGCACGCCCTCTTCTGTTCATGGCCCCACAAAAAGAATGGTCTCTCTGTATTCAAGTCAATGTAAGTCACAACAAAATCTTCAGTCTTATAAAGGGTTATCCAATCTCAAAAATAGGAGAAAAGATACTATGTACTCTAAACCTCTGATTTTAATTGCAATAAACATTTATCTCCATTTCTCTTTTTTTCTCATTTCTCCCTTCTTCTCTTGTTTTCGAACCAGTGCATGATAAATGGCTTCTCTTTGTTTCATGGTTTTCATTAATTTATTTAATCCCATTGTATACTTTGCCTCTTTTTAGCCATCTTAGATAAATGTCTGAATAAGCTAGAATATGAAACCAAGAGCAACAATATTAAAAAATAATTCAGAACAACAAGAAGAAAATCGTAGTTTAAATTTCAAACACAGCCCACAGAAAAAAAATCTACTATGGACATTCGCATGGAGATAGGGAGAAGAAAACTTAAAACATAAAGAAGTGAGATATATTATTTTCCTTTCCCCTTTAAAGAATAATTTAACTTAATTTAATTTAAATCTCATTTATTTACTTATTTATTTATTGAGTACAGCTGACACACAATGTTACATCAGTTTCAGGTGTACATAGTGGTTCAAGCTTTTTACTCAAGTTGATTTGCTCATATAAAGCTGATAACATTATTTGGATATTTATTCAGATGTCTGGACTTACTTAAGTGCTTGGAAGCATATGGGGCCTTTCAATTTCAGTTGTTTGGGGTTATGGTTTCTCAGAGTCCATCCTTTCTCTTTTTGAGGTCAAAGAACATTATTGGAACATTTGGGGTGAGCCTTTAAGAACTACACTAGTTATATATTGCAAAAGTGTAAAGCTCACTACTGATTTATTCCCATCAATGGAAGATTCTCCGGTTTTCTGAACTCACCATATCCTTGCAGCATATCTCTAGGTTACAGTATCTGCTTGTTAAGAATAACCTGATTGGCATTTGGGGGAAGAACTGCCATCCACACTCTCACTCAGAGGCTCTCCTCCATTGGTTTAATAGGATGGCTAACTAAGAACCAGGCATGAGTTCCTTCAGGGGTAGCACAAAGAGAGGCAGGGATAGTAGATGGTGCTTGGAAGGAGTTCGTGATTCAGAGCAGTTTGTGAATATTCATACAATAATTGGAACTTTGCCCTTGGAAAACTGGTTCAGTATCTGTTCATGTTCAGGGGCTCCAAATAATGTGCAGCTGGGACTGCATTTACTAACTGATTAGACATTTTTCCATTCACCTTAAAGAAAGGTGTGTTATCTTAACCTGGCACCCAAGGCTCTTATCTTCTATTACGGGGGGGGGGGGAGGATAATGCAGAGACCAAGAAAAGGCATCTATAGTAATTACTTCTCTGTCCTCAGATACGGTCTTTTGTTCTCTGAGATGAACTTTCTTCTCTTGATTCATTCTGGGCTGTGATGTGAAACTGGCTACGTTTGGAGGAAATTCTCCACACTTGCTAGCTAGGTCAAGACTGGAACAAAATCAGACATAAACCACCACTTGCTCATCTTTGGCACATATATGTTTCCATATCTTGGTGGTAGAGGATGATCCAGGTTTTTAGGACCTGAAGTATATACAATTTTTGAAGAACTTCTTTAAGAAAAGGAAAAGCAAACTGAACTGAAATTCTAAATTAGATGTAAAGGTGAGTATTCATTTATCTAGGAGAAGAAAAGAAATCACAACAAGTCTCAAATTTAAAAAGGGTGACAAATATCACAAATGTGACAACTTACAGAAAAATGATATTTAATCCCCTGCTCAATACATCTCCACAATCCTCTTTCCCTACACTTTTGGCTCCATACTCTTTGATCAACTTTTTATATGGCAGATGTTTTATAATATTTTATTTAAACAAAACAGAAAGATAATTCAGTCTTAATATTTTCAGTTGATTTTTTCAGCTTCACAAACTTTTATTGATAATATCTTGTACACTTTCCAAGTTGTTGTCAAATTCAGTGGGAAACCACTCTAAAATTTCTTTCATATATGAGTTGTTATAGGCATACTCACTCTTAATATTATTACAAGTTTGTGCTCTACAACCGTGAGAATTTGGATAAATTCTCTTTTGTTTGATTCCCATTAAAAAATTTAAAAAGCATATGGTGCAATTATAATTTTCAAGGCTCTCAAGTAAATTTCCTGCAGGAGAGAACTTCTTTGTTGACCAGGCATCAATGAGAACCCAGTCTTGTGTTTATAAGTTCACATGTCTGATTGGGAGAATTCTCCACAGACTAATTTCTGGCACATAGATCTTGTTTTCTCTCCACTCTCTACATATTTCTAGTGTTGGAAACAGTAGGACATACCTTATATTGTGAAACCACTTCTGACCTGATACCTTCATGTCTCAATATCTGGCAGAGTTCCCACTGTCCATGGTAAAAATATTCCTGAGAGCCATTACTCACAGGCATGGCCAGCAATGGCTTTAACTATACACTAAAGTGACCTCAAGCCACATAAATTTATCTCATATAAACACAACTACACTCAATTTCCAAGCCAGACCCCACACATGTTTGTGGGTCACTCCAATGACTCTCAACATAATAAGATATAGTGAGAATCTAATTGGAAAGAGATAACTGTAGTTAAAATAGCTTCCTTTTGAAAATTTCACAAAAATATATAACCATGTGAGCTCCTGGGAGAGTGGCCTGGGCACCAGATGAGCCCTGAATTTTCAGCTTTGATGATTTTACAGTAAATCCACATCCTGCTAAAATGGTCCATGTAATGGTATCACTCTCTTTATTGTTCACTCTTTGTGACCTTGAGATCTTATTGAGATTGAGGCACCCACCAACACTGAAGTCCAAAAATGAGAAAAGCTTGTGCCCAGAACAGCTGGGGAATGGTGGGTGTGGGGTGAGAGGTTTGTGGAAGTTGAGAGAACAAAGAGCTCCATGTTTCTGAGACGTATGGTTCTGATGCTGGGTTCTGAGAAGACAAACAATACCAGGTATTGTTCTTACTCTCACGGAGTTATGGTCTGGAGGCAGAACACATTTCTTAAATCTATGAAGCACATTATTAAGTATTACAGAAGTGACAGGCCTACGTGCTGGAGAAGGAAGGTGGGAGAACGAGGTCAATCACAAATGGCATTGCAGAGAAGGCTGGATTCAAGGTGGAGGAGGCAGGACATATCTAAAATGGCACAAACAATGAATGGATGAAATCCCTCTGATAAGCACCTGTTGAGTGACAGTAAGAGGCTCTGAATTAATTAAAGTGAAGAGAAGGAGACGATAAAGGCTGTGAAGTCCAGGGCAAGAGTCACGTCTTAGAGAAATTCCAGAAGTGAGGCCAAAGTTGGCGAGCACAATGCCTTTCTTTCTACACTATGAAGACTCTGGGCATAATTCTGCAAACTTTTTAAAGAGCTGAAGTAAAGAAGAAATCATAATTTTATGTTCTTCTCTCTGTGCAGTAAGAGTTGAGAAAGACCTGAGGGTTTTTTGAGATTGAGGCATCCACCAACACTGAAATCCAAAAATGAGAAAAAGCATGTGCTCAGAACAGCTGGGGCATGGCGGGTGTGGGGTGAGAGGTTTGTGCTGCTGAACAGGTGAGGCTGCTCCCTGTGTTACCGGGGGGTGAGGGGTGTTAAAAGGAAACTTTTAGTAATGGAAGTTGAAAATACACTTCTAGGGGTTTAGAGTGAGTGTTCTATGTCAAAAATATGAAAGCCAGGGAGACTCCACACTATGGTTCTATGGGCTGTGTGTCAAAAGGGGTCCCTCAGGTTCTGGAGAGAACTCCGTGGGCAGGGAGGTTGAGGCTGTATGTCAGAGATAGCAACCAATTGGGAGTAAGATGTGAATTCTTTGTGTTGACACTTCATGTCACACTGGAGTGATCTGTAAAATGCCCAAGTGTCCAAATGCAAATATACCAAATGATCCAAGGAAATATTTTTTAAGTATGTGAGTTTACTTAATAATCTCTTGAATGTAGTTCATTTCCCTTCACCCTTCCCTAGATTATTTATTCATGAAGGCAAGCCCTGAATTCTTAGTGTTTAGCAAAGTCTGGCACTTGGTAGGTGCTCAATAAATGCTGATAAAGGCACATGCACCCATGGAGTGGAAGCACTGTCTCAGTTATCACAGGTGTCATCCCTGTAATAATTGTTTTCCTTATTTACGTCGTGAATTTCGATGTTGTCAATAAACAAAGTTTTCTTCCAGTAAGGATATAAGGGAATAGATGGAGAAGTTATAGAATTAACCAAGCTAATGTTAATCCAGAAGTTGGTACTATTTGAAGTACTTAGATTGGCTTCTTTGTTCTGTGAATAAGGATTTGCTAAAAACAAAACAAAAAACAACAACAACAAAAAACCCAAAACAACAGAAACAAAACCCTAAATGTTGAGAACCACAATTGGTAATAAACACATGTAAAAGGTGTTAACACTTTTCTTGCAATGGAAGCTTCTTCTCTTCACAGAACCTACATTTCAGGGGATCCCTGGGTGGCACAGCGGTTTAGCGCCTGCCTTTGGCCCAGGGCGTGATCCTGGAGCCCCGGGATCGAATCCCACGTCGGGCTCCCGGTGCATGGAGCCTGCTTCTCCCTCTGCCTGTGTCTCTGCCTCTCTTTCTCTGTGTGACTATCATAAATAAATAAAAAAAAAATTTAGAACCTACATTTCATGTTGTGTCTGCACATGTCCTCGTTTAGACCAACTGCAGACATACTCAGCCGAGGCAGATGGAAACACAAACCATCACGGGGAGAACA